AGAGCGACACCAAACGAATGAGTTATCAATCCCTGATGTGAGGAACGTTACATTTGGGCACGGTACAATGTATAGACATAGCGATCACAGCATGGGTGCAGTGCTGCTGCGTGCTGTGTGTTGTGCGTTCTTCATCTTTTACACTTCTACCTCGGGTCTTGTGCGGCCATCAGAGCCTTGTACAGAGGTGCGAGGTTCATGGTGGGGTATTAGACATACCCCCCCCCCTCCCCCTGCAGGAGCACATCCGTAGTTTACCCCACCGGCGGTGTTACCACCTGAACGGAACCCTTCGGGCTACGTCGTTTGGGCTAACGATGGGTCATACGGTGGGCGGTAGTCCTACATCGAAGAAACACAGTTGACATGTCCTGTGTCGACTGAAGTCTTGTGTGACGACATACCGCTGGGGGGGGTAAACAAGGCTAAAATGTACCCCACCAGTGAGACGGCGGTGTTCGCATCCCACTGGGTGTGTGTAAAACTGTGGGCAGGAATACTTGATGTGATGGTCGCCTCACCTGCTGCCCGCTGCTGTGCGCTGTACGTGCATGTTTTCACACACTTCTACCGGTGTTCGTCAGTCGATTGGTGCCCTGGGGGCGGAGAAACAGACGGGGGGGGATTTAGACACTAATCCCCCCCCGGGGGGCAGGTTGGGACAACAGATATACTTTGACCATCAGCCATATGGGTGCACTAAACCTGCACCCCTTCCACTGTACGAGGTATCTCGCTATAGCCCTACATCACGGCAACACAGCCTTGCGTGTCCTGGCTCGATTGGTGCCTCGTGCGCGGAGATACAGACGGGGGGGGATTTAGACACTAATCCCCCCCCGGGGGGCAGGTTGGGGACAACAGATATATTCTGCCCATCAGCCATGGCTGCACCAAACCTGCACCGTTTCCGCTGTACGAGGTATCTCGTGATAGCCCTACATCACAGCAACACAGGTGTGCATGTCCTGGCTCGATTGGTGCCTCGTGGGCGGAGATACAGACGGGGGGGGATTTAGACACACCGTTTTTTTTTTCCTTGGCCGCCTATCCTGTCCGAGCAATACAAAAAAATTAAATAGCTGAAAAGACGCACCGAACGCCCTAATGTTAAGGAGTGTGGCTGCTAGCTTAAACAGGGTACATCTTATTGTTGATAGGATGTGGGTCGGTCCCCGGAGGTATACCCTTCAGACACACACCTACCCTCTTAGAATTTGTCTAGTCTGCGTACCCCCTGAGGTGAAGTTGGATCCCCACTTCACCTCAGACCCTTGCTGATCGTCTCTCAGCAATAACAAGCAACTTTCCCATCTCAACGTGGTCGTGGACAAGCGTGTCAACGACAGAACCTACCTTCATCTATCTCTAGGAGCAAGCTACCGCCCACGGCTTCGCCTCCTTTAAACTTGGCGTCAGCTGGCATTTTACCAGAATCGGTACACCTTCGCACTAAACTGCAATAATACCGACCGTACATTCGGAAAATCGAAACCGACCTTCCTAGTAAGTATTCCGCAGCAGAGGGAGCAGTAGTAGTAAAATCATCAGGGCTGGTGTGTAATTGGTAGATTGATGTGCTGGGCGCACGACAGCGGCCGGAACTCCCCCTGTTTTCATTGTGATGGAAGGTTCACGCTCCAGACTAGGTATAGAACATGAAGCCGGTGCTTTGTTGTCTCGTGCAGTCTATGCATTGTACGCGAAATTCGTTGCTGTCGCGTAATGTACACTGCTTATTGCTGTGTGTGCTGTATCAAGCGTGCTGCTGCTGCTGTACATACGTGCGTGATGCGTGCGCTACGTCTCATTGGCTTGCGCTCGGTCCACAAGTTAAGTACGTTAAGTAGGGCTGACGTGTACTGTGCCTCTAGGTCGATATATGCGACGTGTCTCGGCCTTTATCAAGAGAGGTTTCGCGCGTCCCTGAACGCGTATGTTCCGCAGGGAATACACTTGTTTACTCTACAGGACTTTATGCTTTATAAAACAATGAGGGTACTCTATTCTCTATGTAGGTACAAATGCAGACGACGACCATTTCTGTGTGTAGTCTACAGTAGTAGCGTCGCTCACGCAATCTTTATACACAAATTAAAAATAGAACATAGTCTACATGCCTTTGTCGCCGGAATGAATGGCGGTCATGAGCTCGCCGGTGCAGTCCGTGATGGCCTTCTTAAACTCGAAGCCGCCCTGTTCCCTCGGGAACGTGGCCAGGAAACCCACCAGCACGCGGCGCTTCAGCGGGTTTACTTTAGGCATAGCTGGCAGTCAGTGTCTTAATATGTACCAGAAACCAAGCGAAGACTATTCCGGTAATACATACGTATTGTTGTTTGACACAGAAGTACAAATGCTAATAACAGACGTTGAGTATTCCAACACTCCCTGGACGGAAGTCATACAAAGAATGCGACTGTTTACAACTTTCTACGGATTTAACAATCGAATTCGAACAAATGTTCTCAACCAGAAAGATCAACCCAAAGAGGAATGGTGAGAAGAAATCGGCCATGAAGATGTGGCCCGGTTGTAGTTTCGAAAACTACGAGCTCGTACGGCAGCGAGGGCTATGGACAATATTTCACAAGCTTGCCAGCTGTGGCGGCTCCCAGTGACTTCGGTCCACTCAACTGCTGTCAAGCGTGGAAGCCATGTCTTGAATGTTTCACATTCATTCATTGTGTTGCGGGATGCACAGCGTGTTTGCTTCAACTCTTCGTGCATCAAGGTCAGATGCAGCCCGTCTCGCACCGCCGACCAGGGACCTAAGCAACACAAAGATCGCAAAATTCTGGCAAACGAATAACCATGAACCTGTCCTACACAAAAGTGTGCAAGTCATGCAACACCACGTCATCCGTGCGGTTAGTCACGAAATGCAATATCAGTCAGGTAGAAGGCGGACAGGCACGTTCCCACGTTCACCTTGTGAACTCAATGTCATATGAAAAGAAAGCTGGAACGTTCCAGTCACGGCAACGTACTTGGCGCGAATCGAGGGAATGGAAACGCAACCTGAGTCGAGAATTGGAAACACAAAACGACCTGCCGGACAGGCCCGGACGCAGAACATACGAGCAGAAAATACCTCAGAGGCACAGGAAGAAAGGCGTATCTGTCTTCAACATACAAAAGAAAAAGAAGGCCTGCTACGACGCTTGGCATGGTCCCCCGATATTCAAAGAAGAACAAACCCCGGCAATATCAGACTAACCTGACACGTCTGGATATGTGCGGCCTGCTCTTCATCACATCAACGGACAAGTTCCCAGAATCACACAATCTACACCCTTTGCACATGCGACGCGATGCGTGTTCCCTCGCTATTTCGTCACAATAATGCAGCATCAAAGAGAGCAGCAGGGGCCGCAATATACGGTACAACCGCCAATCCTATGAGTACTGAATCCATCACACCATAACGACGTTTTTACCGTAAGGCCGGAGGATGAACGAAGTGTGTTGCAGATAGAGAGAAGTGAACAACACACACAAACACACGCGCAATAGATTCGGCACGAAACACAACATCGAAGAAAGAAATGTCGGAGAAAGAGCGCCTTCTCGGCCCACAACGTACGGAGTGGTAAACCAACCAACAACACACGACACCTTAGCTGGCGAATTTTCCGGAGAAACGAACCGTGCACACCAAGCACATAACCGCGGTCTTAGGCGAACAAAGGGTAAACAAAAACTTGCTGTATACTCTTCGATCCTTTTCGTCGAGGAATACAGCAGCTCTACAAGAGATAGGCGAGACCGTCGGAAAACGTTTCCTACGCGCCAATCTTCCATAGAGCGTGCAAACCAGGGAATGGTACAGGAACAACCCCACACCGTACCAAGCCCTTGCTTTTCCTTCATTCACTGCAGCACCTACAGGCCCAGCAGGGACAGAACAGTTCGGTCCCTGCAGCAACCTATGGAGGAGTAGTGGCAAGAGCAACAATGGCCCTGTTTCCACCAACATGCTGAGTCCGAAATCCACCAACGAAATAATGAGCTACAAGAACAGCTAGACTATATGCTTGTTTTTTTATGGCGCGAAAACCCAAGGAACTCCGCGCGTGATGCACGCTAGGCAGGAACGTCTATATCTGGGCTTCGACTACAAGGTGTGTTGGGGCAAAAATTGTGGGAACACAGCGCCGATGTCAACCTCCGTCATGCATCAGGTCAATGAGCCCTCTACTCAAACGTTCTTGAACTGCTGTGGGGCATGGGCATGTTTGGGAACCACGCCCGAACAACGCCTGTCGCATTTTATCCGGTTGGGATCTACAAAGAAGAAAGGAGTTCGTCAAAACCCTCAACAGGTAGACTATATGGTCGAAACGTCGTGGCTGCTCGGGCGCAAAGAGTTGTCCCATCGGTAACACTACACAATATTCTGTGCCCGGAGCACTCTACAAACTCCAGTACTTCAAGCCCTCCGACTTACCGATGAACCACGACTTGATGGTAGCCCACCAGGACTTGTACACGTCCTGGTGCTCGAAGTCCAGCAGCTCATCTCGAAGTCGTGGCACCCCGCATAGGAGGTGGATGACCGCTGCCTCGACGCTGGTCAGCCAGTCGCGGTCGGGCGTTGAGACGTGCCTGGTAAAACAGCAAGTCACGCCGCGGGTTCGGGTACATACGTCACGAACTGCATTGTTTCGTTGTTAGGGAGGTTGGGGGAGATTCGCTCCCGGGATGGTCGCTGTGCTGCAGTATCTTCATGGCCATCTTTCTACATCCAACCTTCTTGGGTGGTTGTGTGGAGGCGTCTCCGGCGCTCACAGGCAAAAGTAGCGATAAACGTGGCCGACAGGCGAAAAACACCCGGATACCGTCCGTTTCTCTTGAGCGGCATCTCTCGCATGCATTGCAAGACGGTACACTAAGGTGTACCATAAAGTAGTTAGCCGCCGCACTTAACAGCTCGGCAGTGAAGAAACTTATTCAGCCTCAAAAATCTCAAAGCCTAAGAACTACACGTAAGAACTTCAGCCTCGGCCAATACTAGAGGTCCTTACGTGCGGTCGCTAACTGCACACACACGTCTACGAGTTACGCCGGACTAAATAGACACCTGGGAGTTCGGCGGAGACCACTGGCGGGGGCGCCGTGAGATCGAGCGGCTCGTTCCTGGAACCAACCAACGTTCAGCACCCACCGAGAGAGAACGTGCGCGTCGTCGCAGAGGAAATAAATACGGACACCGGCAACGGTGCGGTGGGGGCGTGGATCATGTCAAACAAAACGGCGGCGGGTGGTGCGTGTGCGGCGGGTGTATGTAGCAAAGTGTGGAAAACATGTTTGTTGAGGCAAGCTTGAAATCCGGCCTCCAACACAAAAATGTCACCCACGCCAAGCCCCGGCAACACGGCATACAATTCCGCGGTCTGGCAAGCCGCGGACTAAGTATTCTGAAGGCAGGGATACCCCTAGTTGCGCGAACAATTCCCTCTTTCCGACAACATGCCAAAAATCACCCGCCCGTGTAAGTACACACATACCTGTCGGTCAGCGACGTAGACCACGAGCCCCCAGCAAGCCCGATGCACGAGGAACACGAGGACGATGGCGAGCACGGCCACGAACCCGACTGCGAAGACGACACGCGCAACTGGGTGGATCGCGCGCACAACGACCCCGAACTGTGGGTCCAAGACGAAGCGGAGGCAAGACCACAGACGGGACAGCAGGACAAGGCTCTCTTTCCAGTTCGCCACGGCGTGCGATGCCCAAGCAACCGCTGGGATCGCGGGCAGGAAGCGGAGAAAGAGCCTCAAGTGTTCAACTCTCCCTGGAGCCAGGAGAGCTGTCGTCGCCCTGTAGACGATCGGCCTCGCCGCGACGATGATGGCAGCACCGCCACGCGCCACTCTGGGGACGACCCACCTCGCCGCCGCGATGATGGCAGCATCGACACGCGCCGCCATGTCGAAGACCCACCTCGCCGCCGCGATGATGGCAGCACCGCCACGCGCCGCCTTGTCGACGATCCATCTCGCCGCCGCGATGATGGCAGCACCGCCACGCGCCGCCCTGTCGACGACCCACCTCGTCGCCGCGATGATGGCAGTGCCGTGCCCCCAGGCCAGCCTGAACGGCAAGGCGGCTAGGCCCACAGCCTGGCCGAACAACAGCACATGCAAGATGAGCTGTGCCCACAACACCGACTCGACGTCGTCGTAGTCGTCGTCGCAGTAGTTGTCGTCGCAGAAGCCGTTGACGTCGTCGTAGTCGCAGAAGCCGTCGTAGTCGTTGTAACCGTCGTCGTAGTCGCAGAAGCCGTCGACGTCGTCGTAGTCGCAGAAGCCGTCGTAGTCGTTGTAACCGTCGTCGTAGTCGTAGTCGTACTCGTCGATGTTGTCGTACTCGCTATCGTCGTCGAAGGCATAGACGTCGTCGCAGTAGTCGTAGTCGTCGTAGTCGGCACGGTCGGTAGGGCTGACGACCTCGTCAGGAGAGCAGACCAGGGCGAAGAAGTCGTCGGCTCGTTCGACCTGAGGTGCGACGAGTGGGAGAGAGGCCAGGAGGGCGAGAGGCGTAGGAGTCAGCAGGATGAGCGACAAAAGAAAAGAGGTGTCCAACTGAACATGGGGGGGAAGGTCGGAAGCAACGAAGCTGCTGGACTACGACCTCACGATCTCGCAGAAAAAGCGTGCTAACTGTCCTCCTCTAGTCGCGTCGAGTATTCTCCTGCCTGCGACCCAACTCTGAGATGGTTGGAAGTTCATTGCATACCAGCGAGTTTCAGGTGAACCGCTGCACGATCGGGGCGTCGCGAACAGAATACTTGTGTACTGGCAATGTGTAAGCCATCCTGCAGCTTTATCACCTGCTTTGGAGGCCCATGCACGTGAGCGATAGCTGAGGTAGCCGAGGAATTTCCCAGCGTTACGACGATCTGGTAGTCTCCCTCGCTCGGAGGAACGTAGGTGACCGTGTAGCTACCGTTGAGGGAATCACTCCTGCAGAGGTACGTGCAAACGTCGCATCAAGCGTCTCTTAGTGCATCAAGCAGAACGCGCTGTGTGCGGCGGAAGTAAAAGTGGCAAGCAGTAAAGTCACAATCAACAGAGTGGAGGTGTGCCGTTCGAGGACACTTTTAGCGTTCGCCGAAGCTGCAGTTCCTGCTCTATTGTTGTTGCTCTGCGTCGGCTTCTTCTTCAACTCCGGTATTCAATACCTCCTTTTTCGTTGTGTTCAAAACAAAGAAAAGGAATTTTCGTGGTTGGTGAGAGACCTACAAAACAACCACCGAGAAAGCGCCCTACCGTGGAACGAACACTTCGTTGGCCATAGCGAGAGGTTCACGGTGTTGGCAAACATCTGCAAAGGTTTACGGTTGGCTACCTGGCGAAGCAAAGTACGGCTCACAAGCAAACGTTTTGTGTGCCTGTTTGCAAAAATCTCACTGCCTGCTTGCGGCAAGCCGCGTCTCACGCGTTCAAGGTCGATGACGTTCCACGTAAAGCCTCGAAATATCCTTATTGCCAACAAACGTTTTGCTGACGGGAAACGTTGTGCCCGCCGGAAAGTCTTGGGGAACGCTACCGGCAACGCATCAACACACACAGTAGTTCAAATCGTGTGTTCAGCAGTATCGCGCCGATCAGCCGGCTGCTATGTACGCCTACACCTTCGTGAAACCGGACTCACACGACTTGGGCGTCTGAATCAGAAGTAGGGAGTCCACCGTGGTCAGCGATGCCGTTGGCGGTGGCGTGCCACTCGTCAGACCTCGTACGGAACCGCTTGTTCCCAAAGGCGTCACGAGAGGTGATCGTGAACGCGCACTCGTTCAGTCTCTGCCGATTGAGAAAGAGAGAGAGGGGGAGAGACGGAATAATGGCGTGTGACGCGGGACGATAAGTTTGTTGCCATGCGGTGAGTCACCGAGGGCTACACCATTGAGGTGTACACATTCTTCCTCGACAAGTGGTTATTTCCTACTACATAGGGTAAAAAGGTCCGGAGAAGGACAAACAGCCTACTCAGTAGTCCATGTAACACGCAACAATGTTGACACACATACCCGCTTCTCAATCAAGCACTCATGCAGTCCCCGTCCGGCGATGGACGACTGGGTCGCGGAGACCTCACCGGGCAAGACGAAGACGCCGGCCAGTTGGACGTCGTCGTCGAAGAACTGGTGCGTCCGAACCATGCCCTGCGAACCATATCGGAGGAGAGTGGGGCAACACAAGCAGGACGGGCGCGTATAGGGTAGGTTAGGTTCTTCCACCGACCAACATAGCACGAGTTTATGCCAACAGATTGAGGCGTACGAAGTTCGTTGTAGTGCAGTCAACAAGCATCGAATCAGACGCGCAATTTCCGCTCCCAACACCAAGTATTGCACGAGCAACCAGTTTGCCTGGTCACCTCTTGTCCACCTTGCCGACAGCTCATTTTGTGCACCGCTACAACAAACGCCACTATCTTCGCGATACTGAGAACATCAGATACTCCCTCCCTCGACATGGACAAACAGTGCAGCAGCATCCCACACGGGGTATTCCATCCACCCTTACCTGCGCCCCGAGGTGTCGTGGCTGGCCAACGCGTTCCGTGAAGTCCAAGAACGCCTTGGATGGCCCGCCTGGGCCAACGAAAGCGCTCTGCACGACGTACCACCCGACAGCGATAGGCGTGAACGATCCCACGAACCCGGCGTTACCATTCAGGTCGGGGCCATCGATCACCATCTCCAGGTCGACCAGAAACGGCTCCGACTCTACGTCGACGTCGGCGCGGGGGTCGGGGAAGCCCCGGACGCGGATCGCGAGACATTGGCCTGGCGGCAGGTTGCTCGGGTCGATGACGTTGCCGTACTCGTCGCTGGGGGTGGCCGTGACGCGGTGCTGGAGTCCAGCAACCCCGGAATGTTCGATTTGAAGGAAGGGTGCATCGGCAGAACACAAAGTTGGACGTGAGTCTGCGGTTTCGCACTGTAGGGGGGTACGAGATCCCTGCCGGAAGAAGAACGTACCGGCCTTGCCGTCGACAATCATACTCCTACGCATAGCACAAAGTCAGGGTGCGCGTGGCGGACGGGTACGTCTAAGTTAGCCGCTCCGTTTTCTCGAAGGCTGCGTTCGCTCTACATGCCGATGCCTTTAAATCATGCCAAGTGCTGTGGATGCAAAACCCCCTTGGTCCCACCTTTCAAGTCCTGAACTGCCCCCTGAAATGGGAACTATTCTCCTATTCAAATCGAGGCGGCCCCATACCCCTCTGAGAGGGGGAAGTGAGACCGTACAGCAACCAACTAATCTTGCTGTCTTGCGAGATAAATCCACAAGCGTCTGTTGAGAATGATGGAACACCTGTCGTGAGCTTCCTACGACGTTCACCGAGCACTTTCCGTTGTACTATTTCTCACCTCGTCCACCTGGAGCTTCCCCTGAGGCCTTCGAACGACGGCAGGACGGTGACGTCTCCCATCGATCCCGACGGTGGGATCATGGCGCCGGCGACGAGAACTTCGGCGGAGAAATTCCCGGCGAGCACCGGGGTGTACTCGATCACGTACCTGGGAATCGTTCGGCCAGGAAGAGAGCGAGCGGGACAGTTGCGTGTGAATGTTGGACGTGTGTCGTAAGGCAACCTGTGCAGACGACAGCTCATGGTTGCCGTATTTCTGAGATATATATTGAGTCCGCTCGTGTCATTTCACGGCTTCCTATCCGGCCGGCAGATGCCTGCTGATAGTGCATGTGGTGTCGACGAAATATGACAACAGAACCCAAGCTGTTGAATGGAAAACCGTTTTGAGAAGACACAAAACAATATCTGCTGCCGTCACCAACAACGTCGTCTACGTGATTCTCGCATGTATACGGCGACGGGGGGCTATTGGGCTACATTCTCGAGCAACAGAGCATTCTAAAAGTATTCCGATTGCGCCACACGCAAGACACGAACCTCGCCGAGCTCTCATCTACCAGTCTTACTATTTGCATCAGGCTTGTCCTAGCAGCCCTACACAACGCGACGACTTCTCATAGACCCCAGAACGCAGAGTTCAGCAAAAGCGGCAACCCGCCCAGGTAATGATAAATAAGGTTTGGGAAACAGGCCTCAGCAATGCACCAACCTTCGTTGTCGTCTTGACTCACCGGCCTTGCCCGACGTACGAAACGGAGTCGACGGCCTTCGTCACTTGGCGAATGGAGACGTGGGACACGCCGACATATTCCGAAATCTTGAGCTCCGGAGGTGCGCCGTTGGTGCGGGAGAATTCTATCATAACCTGTTGGTAGACGGTAGTTAACACAGGGGGGGGGGCGCAGGGAAAACGCGATATTACTCTCCGAGCAAGAAAAATAAGAGCTCGTAACGACTTATCTACATATCGTTGAAGACGTCGCTCACGCACGATACCTATGTGCACAACATCTCTATGAAAAGCAGGCCATCTATGCGACAATATGTCATGCACGCTGTTGTCAAGTTTTTTCATTGGAGGTCGAGCAAGCTCTTGTCGGTATCACAGATCAATGCCCATGTAAGTTTTGAGCGAATGTCGTCGGGGTTGCGCTCCTTTCAAGCATCTTTACAGCCCAAAATCAAACAATTTCGACTAATAGTCATTCCTAGTGTGCGCCGCACGCACGCACTACTGTATCAATCAGCTCACCTTGTTACCGCGCGGTCCGCACAACGATCGTTGCCCAAAGGCGGAGGTAACCTGCACGCGAACGTGCTTCTGGTGGGCCGAGGCCAACATCTTCTCGAGGTGGTTCCTGATTCAAGGATTTGGCAAAAATACCAGTAGGGCGTATCGCGGAGAGAGCGCAAGAGGAAGGGTCATCCAGGGATACAATTGAAGTTCCTGACACGCTTAAACAGACAGACTGGTCGTTTTGTGAGTCGGTTGGTTGAGAAATTTCCACCGAACGTCGTATGTAGGAATTCCTCATAGAAAAGTGGTAGCTTGTAAAGCAAGAGTATATATCTAATGATGTCTTCACAAAGCTGCTCGTATGTGCTCTCAGTCGTACTGGGAAAGGTGAGCTACTTGTCAAAAAAACAAAATACCAGACCTTGGAGTTTGTGATTGTTGTTTGGCGCTTACATTACCGGCCGTGCTCTGCTCTGGTGTGTGTCTACCCAGACAACTTTTGCTGCTGAACTGCTGTTACTGAGCTGTACCCACAAAGACTCCGTGCGTTCGACCAGGGCGCAACCAGGGCGCATTGTTATGGATGCTCTCAACACAAGATGAGGTATACGTGTACATACAAATTCGGGAAAAGCCAAGTACATGGCGAACACGGCCATCTGATGCATTGTATCCGTCACAGGCTACACGAGGTATACCTGTACATACATGTTCCTTCAAGTCGGGAAAAGCCGAAAACAGGGCGAACACATCCTATGTGATGGTCTCTATCGGGCCTGCGGTCACACCTGAGGTCCTGAAGGGTGCCGCGGGCCTCTACGAAGGTATCCCTTCTGAACATGTTGAGCCGAAACCCAAAGTTGCTCGACATCGTCCCGGTCGGTTCGTTGACGGTGCAGGTTAGCTCCTGCTTCTCGTGCATCGCGATCACCGGATCAATGTCGTCGGACGGCGGAGTGTAGGCGTGACTGTTATTGGCGAACAGCGAGAACCGCAGCGTGACCAGATCTCGTGAATCGACCTACGTTTGCGGCGCGCGAAGAAACGAAACGGCGGAAAATTGAGAAAAACATCAAACGAGCCACAGCTCGATCGAATACATATCGCTTTCGGTCGGCACGCAGTCGTGAGGGACGAGACACTCACGCAGACCTCCATTCTGTACGTGCTGTTCCTGCTTCTGCCGTTGCCATCGTTGTCGATATTATGTTTCGTGTTGATGTCTCTGCTTGTCTCAAAACGGCTGAATGCTCCATCAGGTCGGGGTAACAGCCTACTATGGCGAAACGAAACCCGCCCAACAGGGCAGGGAAGGCGGTGGTAGTACTGACTGGACCTGGTTTACGGCCGGAGTTCCCTTGACGATCTCGGTGACGCGGATGCCTCGAGACGGCCGGTCACGGCCGGAGGGCCAGGTGGACTCTTCTTCGCTCGTGGAGCCAAGCAGGGGCTGCACAGAAACAAACCGCGAATGGCGCCAAGATTGAGGTTGACATCGATCAAGCTATTGCGGGAGTGGACACCCGGGCATAGAACAAAAATATGTATTCACTCTGCTGTTGAGTTCACCCATGACCATCAGGCATTGTCTTTCTTCCGGAGAGATCAAGACCAGTGCAAGTACCCCTCTTACCGGTAGCCCCCGTCTGCTCTAGTGCATTCTTGACCATTGAACAAGTCTACTTACCCTCTATCTGCGCTTCCAAGAGCCTGCTGTTGCCAATGACACACCTATCATATGTATGCCCTGCGAATGTATCAGAAGGGTGAGGTAGTCTCGGCGGACGACACTAGCATATAGCTTACCTCGCCTCGACGGATAACACTATTGTAGTAGATAATATAGCACAGTATACCTCGTGGTCGCCCTCGAAGGTCGGGCAAGGGTGGACGCGTTCTGCCTCCTCCCCCGGACCGTTGGAGCACTTGCCCATGCTGTCGCCATGGAACGTAACCAGCCACAGAGGAGACAGCTCGTCAACGGGCGATCTCGTGACCGTTGCTGAGGGAGCGCGGAGCCCTTGGAGGGCCTCAGCCACCTTGCCTAAGTCCCGAATATAACACAAAGGGGGCAGACACTCACATTATTGCTTGGAGAAAGAGAGAGGGAGGCGAGCTCGGTTTTTTGTCACTTTGATGCATGGCCTTCAACAACAAAAAACACGGGCACAGTCAATGCGGGAGCTAGTTCTGTCAATCAGCTTCTTGGCGAGGAATTGTCTGCCTATCTAAGCATGACGTCGGCACCTCAAGGATATACACGCTCAATTGTTGCACACACACGTCGGGAATCACACCGCATTGGGGAGACCGGGAAGCAGCCTTCCTCCCTCGCAACCAATCACGATCGCACGCCGTCGGAAAGAATAACGAGAGATTAGGATTTGCGATAACTCTCTTGACAACGACAACACGTGTGGTCTTTCCGGGTACAACGATCCCGAAGCCATCTATCTCATCCTCACCAGCGCTCGCTCCGAAGGGGATGGGCAGGGTGCGCTCGCCACCGTAGGCCAGCTCGAATGTTTGCGGGAGATCTCCCACGCACGTGCCGTTCCCGTCTGATCCGTTTCCCTGGCAAGGCGGCGAACATTCAACACACCCGGACAAAGACAATGCAGTACGCCGGGGTTGAGACTGTGACGCTGCGTAGTAGGCTACGACCTCATCGTCATGCATGCTATTGAACACATCTGTCGTTTCCTTCTCTTCGCGCGAGTCCGTATTATTGTTCCGAAATTCCGTTCGACGCCTCAATTCCTCGAGACCGCAGGACTCTGCCTGCATTTACACGACATCTTCTAGTGGCCTATGCACCAATCATACCGCTGTCCACCCCGACAGAACCTGCACTCCGGGCTGATCGGCGATGACGCGGGCCTGCACGACGACCCTCAGGCGCTTCCCTGCAACTCCCCCGTGAAGACCAGTGCCCGTTGCCGTCGACAAGGAAGCCTTGGTGCGCACGCTATTATAGTTGCTTGGACGACTCGAGACCCGCCATCGATCACCTGGGTGGACGGGGGGGTATTCGAGCAAGGTGCAAGCATGTCCTATCGTTTACTTTCACAGGAATTCCTGAAATTAAACGAGGGCGCGATTCTACGTGTGGGACATGAATTGGTGAAGTCTGAAGCGATAGTGGTCTAAACATCTTGATATGTTGTACACCAATATTGTGTACGTTCGGGCGTACACTTGGGCCAATGCGACTTCTAAGCGAGCGGTGCGTCCAATGGTGTCTACTGCACACGGCATACATGCCATTGGCCGGTGTTGTGCCGGACATTGCTAACTGTTTGGCTAAGTGCATCTTCGAAAATCCATGTTGTGTACCGTCGTGAACAAGCTAGCGCGTGATATGCATGTATGCCACCCGGGCAACAATTGATGCTCGAGAAATGTCACACCTGTCCCGCCACGTCCGTGATGCTCATGTCGTAGCGCCCGGGGATGCGCAGAGTGTACTGGATGGGGTACACTCCATTGGAAGCCTCATGGTCCACGGAAACGATCGTGCGGCCATCTTCAGCGGGGGTCACGCGCAGAGGGCTCTCGCTCCATTCCTGGTCTGGGTAGTGTTGTTTGTAGGAGGGGGTACGAAATTACACAACCCGAGTGGCGTGAATCGATGATCGCCGGGGTCCAAGGAACAACACCAGCAACACAGGCACAGGCTATACTAAACGGAATGGAACACTGCGCTGCCCTCTGTGCATCCTCCCCATCTTGCGTCAGCAGGTCTTACCGTTCAAGGGGGCGTCTCCTACTCAGGCCCAGCTAGAATTCAGTCGAGCTCTCTTGGGGTGATTTGCAGGCGATGTATGGTCGCACTTTACCGCACAAGCCATGATTTCGACTTGCAAGGTGAAGTTGAACCGTTCGCCGCACAACGTGTGCGTCAAAATCCACCACCCGCAGAGAGCTCGACCCCCGTGCTTTCTGGCCAGGTGCAGCACACACTGTATCTTACCATATGCAGCAGAGTTCGACCAGACGCGAACACACCGGGTGGGACATACCACCCCCAGAAAGCACAACGCTCGTGCAGTCTAGTCATCCGTACTCACCTTGACCTGCACGGTGAACTGCGACGGCGCGTCGCTCACCGCGCGCGACAAGTTCCCAGAGAGCTCGACGCGGGTGCACTCTTGCGGGGACAGAGTGGGAGACGAGAAGACCTGCGAATGCAAGATGGGCAAGATGCGCAGGGGTGAAGGTGTTGTGTTATTTGCCATATCGCAAGTGAGGGTGTCACTTGTTTAGGATCGTTATCGTCACACAGAGGGGGGGTCGCGTCCTTAGAATATCCTCTTCGGCCATTCCCGAACAACATTCAAACCACGACATAGTTCGGGATTTTTGAAGTCCAGCATCCTCTCTCGTGAGGCAAGTCACCATCGAAAACCAATAGTACAGACGAACACGTTGTGTGGATCGGTTCGGAAAAAACCTTCTTGCATACGGCAGTAGACTAAATAGTGTATCTATGCATATGTACTGTAGACAAAGTGTTAATTAACGGGACAAGGGTGGCGTGATTCTCGAGACGGAGATAGATGATTGACGTTCGATATTTGGGGGTGGAGTCGGGAGAGGTGGCCTTACGCCTACAGCCAGATACCAGCAGTCTTCTCATTGATGGAGCAACCTATTTTATGAGAGATGAGAGCGACTTGTTGTTGGGTACATGAGACATAAGACTACAGTACATGGATAGACTATTGTCCTTATTGAAACACTCGCCTACCACATAGTGACAAACGCAACGTAGTCTAGCAATTGACCGGCACGATAGGAAGGGGCGTTCGTTATTCTTCCTAAGGGCCAGTGCTATACTTGCGCAACCTGCAACAAACCGACCTGGGGCACGCGAAGGATTGGCCTGAAGAACTTGCCGACCTTCTTCCTCCAGTGGGCGGACGGAGACTCGGTCGCTTGCCACGAGGCGATGTCGTCCTCGTCGCCTGAAAATCACAGCGAAAGACCACGACGTGAATAAGGTTCATGGGTTGACGGAGGAGGAGGGGGGCAGCTTACGCGCCATGAATGACCCCCCTCTAAACTACGTACTGCTGTGCAGTCAAATCAGTCCCAAGTACTCGTTGAAGCTGGTTGAAGTGCACACAAACGAAGTGAACACTCTTTGGCGACTTACCGGAATTGTAAGACAAGTCACATCCATCGCACCAAGGCAATCTTCATCTCGATCCAACGTCCGCCCCACATTGCCTACACCGTGAGCTATATACGATGGTATTCATTGCAATAGCTTTATCTGATGGCCTACGCCCTACCTTATGCAGCAGCTACCCCGCTGCCCAGGCTGAAAATATCCCGCGAGTTTTTTTTCGGGTGCTATCATTGGCCGACGTCCACAGTGCTGTCGCAGGTCTGATGAAGACAAGGCGGGCGGGCGCCTGTGTCCTCTATCTCTCTGTCCTTCAGAAGTCAAGGTGCCACCACATTTGATGCTTGCCCTACATAGCCAAGCTGCTTTTGATTGCGGTTGGGCATAGATAAGTGTTTGCGGCGGCCTATTAGTCTATGTCTCTACAGCAGAACATACGTGAACATACGTGTAGTCTCGATGTATGACGTCCATATGGACGACGTGCTGGTTTATGTAGCAGCCCACTCAACACACATGGACAGCAGCAGCGGTTGCACACACCACACGCAGAGAGCATGGCGCACGAACCGTGCCCCTCTCAAAGTTTCCACAGAGATCAAAGCAATCTGATGCAACATTGTATGTGTGGATTGGCATCAGAGGGCGAGCCTCAGGGACTTCTAGACTACGTAGGCCTACGTATTATCCTTCACCAGCGATCTCGCAACGGAAGTCGGGGATAAGGTGTGTGTTTTTACGATTCTCGCGGATGTCGACATTGCATGGACACCCGCCACGTGAGAAATCCTTGCCCGGCAAGTATCTTACCATGCGCAACTGTACAGCTTTTCTTTCACACGCAATACTGTACCCCCTTCTGTGCTGCACTGAGGGGCTGCCGCTGCTACGTACCGCTGCGGGAAATATTACGATTTCCAGTCCTTCGGTTTACCCGCCAGATCTTTTTCATGGATTGCAAGTCCACCCACGTACACGATTCTGCCAATCTACAGTCTGCGGCCAACATGAGAAGGCGCGGAGGTTACTAGAAGTTTGTGCGTATTCGCTATTCCCACGTGATACGACGCAGGAGGTGTCGCAACCCGATGTTGTTAAGCCTGCATGGGTGGCAAAAAGTATGCGCGCACGGTGAACTCCGCTTGTTACCCGTTACTTTTTTTTCGGGGAAGCAAGTCGTGTTCGAAATACAGTATAGACCGCCAGTACCTCGGTAGAGCGGCATAGACTATGGATGAATATGTGGTGTGCGTTCACAGGAAACGTACAGCAGCTCGGTCGCCTCATCTTCACTTACCTCCTGCGAGCTGCGCGAAGGATGGGGCGGGAAACCTGACGCCGTTGTTGCCGACCAAGACGTCGATCTGGAGTCAGGCGCAACAGAGCAGACGTACGCACGAAAACAGCGGCGAGATGCAGGGAGTAAATTTAGACAGATGCTCCGGATATTGCTGTAGCCTTTGTACTCTCGAACTGCTACTGCAGCAGCAGACGCGATCTATTATTGTTAGAAAGAAGGTTGGCCACTGAATGTATCCATTGCGGAGACCTGTAGTCTGCACCTTGAGATCCCTTCGACTGGACTTACCGCGGGCGGGCGTGGAGTGTCCTCCTACGGAATTGACTCCTGCCATGGCGACGCCGACGTGCATCAGGATCATTGCGGTGAACGAGATGTTGAGTGCGCTCATCGTCCTGCCTAGGCGGGCCATGTCGCCTCTCCTCATGGGTGAGGCGACCGGCCGGAAATGACACGTGATCGTCAAACGAACGTGCTGGGTGGGTGCAGCGTTGCGAGGAAAAGATATTGTGTCTAGCCTTGGGCAGACGAAGTGGAATGAGACCTCTGAGCAGCGGCGGCATCAGGCGGAGGGGGGGGGAAATCGTGAGAAAACACTCTCAAGACATGTCACACAGGGAAGAGACGGAAAGAAAATCCGTTGAACACATTTTTTTTTTGGATCGTCACAATCTGCAATAAAGATATCAATCAAGGTGTGTAGAACAACCAAATAATTTACAAAACAATGTGACAGTCCCACACCCTCCGTTTGTGCACTTTTCTATCTTTCTTACTGTGACAATAAAACAATAAAACAATATTGGAATAGACTAACAATATAAAAATAGCGAAAAAGACGCTCATACATCGCTCACCTTTGTAGCTGGATACAGTTCATGCGTGGACCGTTTCCTCGGGCTGGGAATCAATGTGAGCGAGGCGGGCGGTGCGCTTACCTGTATCCGTTGTCTCTCCTTCATGGTCTCTGCTTGCCGTAAGGTATCTGGCAAAATAATGTAGCAGCTTACTGACGACCGTCGTGCCGATGTCGACCATCATTACTTCCCTCACCGTATGTATCAACCCGTTCTCATATATTTATAGGCATAGTAAGGCATGCGATAGAAAAAAAAACGGGTGATACCGTTCACCGGGCTATTCTTGGGCTATTATCATATTTTTTCCCATGGAGGGTGTTCAGTAAACACCGGGTGGTTGACAATGTTGTTCGTGAAAACGTGACATGAAGAGACTCATTGAAGTTGTCACTTTCTTCGTATGGCCACCGCCTCTTCTTCACCTCTAGAGGGCAAACAGGGAAGTGCCCGATACTTCAATTCTTGTTTATGGCCCCTATACCCGTACCACCGCAACTACCGGACAGTCACGGTCCATCTACCACTTTGTGCAGATTCTACGCGCAGCCGCCAAAACACACACCTATCCTTTGCGCACTTTTCAATTTTTTTTTTTCGTGAGAAGAGAAACAGTATTGAAATAGAATAACAAATATGACAGCAACCTCACACCCATCCGTTGCGCATTGTTCTCTGTTCAAAATTTTACGTGAGAAGAATCAGTATAGGTCGATGATAAAATAGCGGTGCCTGGAAAAAAAAGAGAAAAAACGAAGAAGGTCCAGGCCTTCTGTCGCGAAACACTTGTATATCTCGACGGCCACGACACCAATTCACAAGAGGATCGCTGCAATAGATGCGGAGTGAGCAGGAGATCACCGAAATCTTTCCACGAAATAGACGCAATATTCTATTTGAACAAGCCCCGGTGAAAGCCCAATCCGCCCATCCGTTGTGCCCTAATGGGTTTATTTTCGAGCAGAGAAGAACAGCAAAGCTTTCACGGAGTCCCACACCACTCACGAACGAAGAGCTACTGTAACGAGGCTCTGTGATATATAATATGTTGTTGACTAGGTTTCGGGTAAGCGTAGGTGCCGGCTCATATCGTTGTGTTCATTGCTTCCATTGAATCCATGGACGTATTGTTCCCAAGCTTCCCTAAACCTGATGTTTCGTTTGTTGGAATATTTGGCACTACGTACCGTAGCTTCAGCATTAGGTAGTCAGTTTGACAAGTTCAAATATTGTCAATGTCGCTATGTCATGTAGTAGGTAAAATTCCGTATGGTCTGTCATACTCGGAATATGGAGACAGGGTTGATGTTCTGTGTTTCATATCCAGAAATTATCTGCATAGCCTAGATTTCCAGAAATATGTCAGAGTGCAAGTAGCTCAGACTTGCGTGCTCGGAAATATTATGCATCGGGTAGTTGTCGCACGTGCCTCTGACTTGCGTATATGAAAGGATATGTACCGCCGCAAGTAACTCAGACTTGCGTGCTTGAATGAATGAATATTCGTATGCGCTCAGCAGTCGAATTTGGAAAGTACATTAGTTCAATTGTTGAAGCTGTATTCTGCGGTTTGTCGTACGTCAGTGCAAGTATTCACTTGTTGTGCGTGCAAGCAATACTTGATGTGCATACGTGGCACAAGTTCGAGAGCATGGTGCTGAAGTCATCTTTCCAGAAACGTATCGTAGCTTCCGAGTACCGTATTCTGAACACGTGTGATTGGTCGACGTTGTCGGATAGGCGTGATTCCATGATTTCGAGGATGAGCGCGTACTCGCCCCATCCTCTCACTCTGCTTCTTTGGGGTTGCTCAAGCTCTCTACTTCTCCGGGGTTCACTACCCCTCTATTTCTCTACATTCTTTCTGGTCTCCACTGATCAAGTAATTACATTTCCACCACACCATATTCTTCTCCTTCGGACCTTCCTGCGTACTCAGAGCCAAGCCTCTCGTACTAAAGGGTCCAGCGGCACAACAAGTGAGTTGGCACGCCGCGCTGCAGCCGTACAGGACACGTACAGGCTTACACGCAGCACTTGAGTTTTTTCCTTTGACCTGTGAATATAAGATTGCACAATCGGGTGCTCTGCTTATGTGCATCAGTGGTCATTGCTGCATACGCACGTTCTACTTGCGCGACACACTGCGGAGAGAGCACGCACCAACTCAAGAGGAAATTAGGACTACCCTTTTTGACGACAAACAACAACACCTCTTCGAGAGCCGATACGGGTCGTCAACACCCACAAGCCTACATTACCAAGAAAAGGTGTGTTAGGGTTGATTTGTTTCGGCGCAGAGTTAGTAAATTCCAGGCTCGCTTCTCCCTGCCACTGGAGAGAGAAATCCACGGTTTTTCATGGGTTCAAGGTCTGGTGACTCATTCGATAGGGGTAGCACATGATTACCCAGAAGCTTCTCGTACTCTGGTGCTTAAAAATGAGTACCCAACCCAGGAATTAATGCATCAATATATTCCGAATGTACTCCAGGCGTGTCTCATCTAGCCTATGGTTGGACATACGTAAAAATACTTGTAGTCGAAAGATTTGCGGGAGAACCAGAAGTTTGTGGATGTAGCTATCCCTCTCATCGTGGCCCACAGTGGCCGAGCTTTCTCCACACTTCACAAACACACCAAGCTTCGGCCTACCCGGTTTACCTAACACGCTAGTGTTAACGACTTTGTCGAGAGTGATCGGGTAGAGCCAGCCAGAGAGTTGCGGCAGCGGCAGTATCAGCTTGCTTCCCGCGACGTACTGGGTTCGCAAACCAGCTCAGGCACGTGATAGCGTTCTGCGTTTATCGGTTGTTACGTGTCGAGATATGAAATCCAAACTCTGAGCGCGCGCCGTACGGTATTGTCTGTAGCCGTCCAACTGTAAACGTTTTTCTCGGTGAGGCACGGCCGGCTACCAATCACCACACAAACCGGAAGCCCAGGGGACGGCGAAGCCACGCGTTATCGGTAGCCTCAACAATCCAACTACCTTTTGTTCATGAGGTTGACTTGTCGAGTGGTTTCTCCACCTCCGACGGCAACAATGCCTTCTACGCGAACGTAGTAGCATAGGTAAGCCTTACTGCCAGTGTGTCATCTGTCCAACTCGATGTGCATACTGCACTTTCCCACGGTGATCAAGACACAGCATGCGACCCAGCTTCCTAGAGATCCCCACCGCAAGCCGTTTCCCGATGGCGGCACGTGCCGAGGCTTATCTCCCTTCTTCCCACGTCGAAAGTCACTGGCCTCGTACTCTCTCTGCTAGGCATCAGAAGCTGCAGCCTCAACTCGGCGTCGTTTTAGGGAATTTGTGGGCAACTTGAATCTCCTCGTGAAATCATTGTTGCCTAGAGGACTAGTAGACGAGGTGTAGGCAATCGTGGGACGAGTAGCATCGTCGTTGAAATTCACTCACGAATCGATGCTTGATGCACACATAGTCTATACTCCATAGATGAAATAGAAAACGTTGGATGGGAAATGAGAGACAAGATATGAGTATTGAGCAAAGGTCGCGATATCCAGCAGACGTCGATGAGAATTCCGGTCAGGAAATATACGGAAGAGTGAAATGATAATACAAATGCAACCAACAAGGAAATAAAACGCCTGCCCTGTGAAATGATGCTGGTCGCGAAACGATCACAGGTCTACCGCAGATCCGAAGCCGTGACACCAACAAACTGCCCTGCTGTTCGCCGTGCCTCGCAAGTGCAATAGTCGCAAGGTATGCTAGGGTTGGAAGAGCGGTGCACCATCATGCACGAATAGATGCATGTATGGTGCATAGGGGAAACGCTGCCTAGGAAAAGGGAGGCAAGAAATGAGTTTTAGGAAAAACGTCGGATTTTGCTGCAGGCATCCTGTACGTTTGTTGATGGAAGAGTGAATGAAAAAAAACAAACGAGAGAGAACATATCGCGCAAGATACCTACCGGCAATTTTCTGAATGCGAAAAGAGGAGACGTGAATAGCGTAATTTGCGATATTCGAGTACAAGTCACGAAAGGAACCCTCCGGACCCAAGTATCCAAGCAAGAACCGTGAACACTCTATCTATCCCTCGTGACGTCAGCGATATGAAAACCCCGCTCTTGCTTCTAAAGAAGAGTTGTGTAGGGAATTAGGGCACTTGTCACAAAATAACGATCGAACACGACGTCTACGTCGGAGAGAACGGTATTATAGTCAAAATCAAGAAAGTATGCATCCTTAACACGTGTGCTACATCATAAGAAATGCAATATCATAACTTTGGCAGACCTGCTGCTCTCTTCTGTACGCGCAGGCTATGAATATGACAGACTGTTTTTCCGTACAAAGACCCAAACTTGATTATTTCGACGGCGACCAAACCAGGTTGGTTTCTGTTGCGCCGATGCGATCTGACACTCGCGAATGAATATGGACAAGGGGTGTAAATGCCCAAGGAAGTATATTACACGATATTTTCCTGCAGAGGACTGGTGACACACACGCAACTTTCCCTCGTGTGAGCGTCATCGCTCAGTCGTCGGTACCTAGAAATGAACTCTTCTCCGCGCGTGCAGAGGCTGCGCTGGAGATTTTTGTGATAACGAACATCACGCGGACAATGAGAAAGACGCCTGTTCAACGAGCCTACATTCGATCACAGCCAGCCATCCGTTGTATGAAGGCCTCATGCACGTCTGTTTCTGGGCGCCGCGGACAAGTGATCATGTCCACTCAAATCTAAGTGAGTACCAGCGGTTCCTCGGCGCGCGAGTGAACACGGTACGTGCTTCACAACCGCTTCCTTCCTGCGGTTTGACAGTTTTTCACTCGAAGCCGTGGACCATGCACGCACGCAGTAGGTGCGTAGTTGGCAGCGTCATCGGTTGGACCAAATCCGAACATCTGTAGAGTGACCATTTGGTTCAAAGAGGCAGTCAACAGAATGTGCGCCATAGGTTAACCTTTGCTGCTCCGAACGACGCGAGTGAATTTCGTCCCCGTGATCGAGGATCAGTCAGTCACACTACCCCCAGGCGACGGCTGAACTCATTCCGACGTATGCATACGGTAGTACTACTACTGTAGGTGGAACGGACCAATGCTCGGCGCAGTGGCGATCCTCTTTATGTATGCTCCGCGTTCGCGTGATGACATCGAAGGTTCACAGAGAGACACGGATGTGGCGAATTGTATTCCGCGGATAAGAATATCTGGAGGTGTAGAGATGAGTCACTGGACCCCGTAACCCACATGTGTGCATTTTCTTCCTCGCTCTTCTGCCTCTCCTCTTGGTGATCTGATACACATGGTGAACCAAACTTCTTGTGGCCCGATGACGCATACATGAGCATACAAATATTCCACGGTTATTTTCTCGGAGTGTATTGGGGTTCTTCGTTCACGTGCGCAGAGTCGGGATGCTGAAAATTGGTTGGACGGTTGTTTCGACGCATTCTTGTAGCGGATGAAACAAAGCGGAAAAAACAATCTACGTGAAGGTTCGTCCGCCACACGTACATGTAGTTCCGAGCAAGTGTCTGGCGGGGGTCAACCGTCGTGATGGGCTCCTTCCGTGGCTGTGCACTTAAACCGCGAAAGAACAAGAACCGCATCAATTATTTTACGGTTCTCTCGGTCAAGAAAAGGAATACTCTTGAGGGAAACACACACTTCACGTGGTTCCTTGATGACAAGTTTTCGGTAAAACGCGGCGGTGCTTGCTGTGGGCCCTCTTCTCCAGGCAGAGTAAGCGACTCGCCAGGTTTGGCTAATCGTCCCCGACGATTTGTTCTCGAATGGTTTTCTCGGAGAAGGGCCTCGAGCCCTGTGCAACCAGGCTTTTCGCTAGGGCCTCGAGCCCTGCGCGACTGGGCTTTTAGTGAGGTCATCCTGCTTGGCGGTGGCTGAGTCGTGCTCCAGGAGCGGGCAAGAACGGTAGCGGGCGCCAACCTGATTCTACCGCCCTAAGTCGTGGGGGGGTTGCTCTCGGGGTCTTGTCGTTTCAAAGGCGCGCATCCTTTCATGGCACGGCGTCACTTCGCCGAGACCAAATCAAGGCAAGTCGGGCAAAAAAAACTAAAACGGCGCTATATCCTTAGAAGCATCCATGTACAGGAAGGCGGTGCCAAGCTTTCGGAACACCCGCCTCAACGTGCTTCTCCCTAACAAAAGAAGCCGGGAAACGTCAACGAGCAACACCATGCCTATCACTACGGCGTTGGGTCGACGCGTGTCACGATAACGAGGCCCCCCACAAGAAAAAATGAACCAGACAAACCGCCGTCCGCATCAAGGAAGAATCCAAGGGCATTTAGTTCGGTCTACAGAAAAAGAACTACTGGATGCAGTCCGCAACCATTCGGCTGACGTCCGGCTGGTTGCTCCGCACCGCAATCTGCCGGAATGGGGATCGGAACGGAGACGGGACGCGTCGTCAAGCAAGGGGAGACAAGACGGACACGGGCCGTAAGAACAAAGAAAACTAGCCTCATCGAGCGAGTGGGGCAACCAAACACGCGGCGAGAGACCTGCGGGATCGGACGACGGAACCTGGCGCCACGGGCTGCAACATAGGAGAACCGAAACGAAAACAAAAACAAAGGTGGAGCGACACAGTTCATTTCACTCCACTACACCGTCGGGAGATACGACGAATCCGCTGCTTTGGGTGCTATATGCTAAAACACCAGGAAAGGACGCACCAAAAAGAACATGGCGTTCGTTGTCAACACAAGCAGACCCTAGGAACAGCGAAACGTTCGGCACGCATCACTCGTCCCCTCCATCGATAACAATGTCCACCGGAGATGACTGAGCCAAACAGTTGCTTTCGAGCTGTCCGAGAGGCCTTACTCGCCTACCTCGCCGGCAAACGCGAGCAAGAGAGGCAACAACTGTGCCCCGACGGTGCGTTCTGTACTTCCTACCTTGAGGATGCAGCCCGCCTGCGGGTCCACGTTAAGCTGAGCCCTGACCAACACCGGGACATTACCCACGAAGATGCCGCAGAGGTGCAACGCGTGCTCCTTCTTGCCCGCAGCGACGCTATTTTTATTTTTGTTCCGTTTCGGGGCGCGGCGCAATGTCCCGCCACGGGAACCAACGGTGGCATCGACAAAAAAAAAGAAAGAGGAAAGGTGGTCAGAAACAGAAAAAAAAAAAAAGACAACAAGCGTTAGCTCTCGCAGATAGGACACGATGAAATCCGTGAGAAAGCAAGAGGGCGGCCGGGCACCTCCTTCACATAGTCAGCTCTAGCAGAAAGAAGCGAAACACGTGCAAACACGGAAGGCAATCTGTGAAGAGACGGGCCAAGAAAGCTAGAATCAGGAAATAGCAAGGACGAGGGGTGAGAAAAGTCGACAACCAGCTTCTCGTTCAAAACCAGCAACATGCTTCATGCGGGCCCTTCGTCAATGTACATGTTAGTGCTCACAGCCACCCCGACATAGGGGGTCTAAGAGAAATGGCACCAACATCAACACCTTCCACGGAAAAGCACGACAAGTCGGCATATCTGTCGCATGGTCACTTTAGGAAAACACATACATCAGGACATACACGCTGCTGCGTGATGCCCTCTCGATGCCCACCAATCCCGTCAATGCAAAACCCATGCTCACGCAGGTCACGATATGTACCTCCCGGTCCCGTCGCAGGTCTGCATCCCCAGGAAGTCCTCCACCGCGGCTACGGCCTCCTGCAGCCTCTTGAAGCCCAACGCGAACTTCTCCAGGACCTCCGCCTCGGCGCCCATCTGCTCCCATCCCCGACGGAAGTCTCCCAGGCTCACCTTGGGGGGGGGAGAAGTTGTTCAACGTGGGGATCCTCATATTTCGCCTTTGTTGTATTGCTATCCTTTTTGGAGAAGTTTTCCAACCGTGCGCATCCTCATACTTCACTACATCATCGTTGTAAGGCGTGTTTTTTGGAGATGGAGAAGTTTTTCAACGTGCGGATCCTCAATTTTTGCCATATTTTCATTTTTCAAGGTTTTGCTTTTTTATTCGGGGGGGAGTGGGGGGGGTGGGGGGGCAACGTCGTTCCATGTCGAGTCGCCGACACCGACAAAACCGGCGTGGAGATATTGTACCAAATTGAACACGCCCATGAACAGAAAAATGACAACATTATGACAAAAAAAGGCCGCAAAACAAATCTTCTAAAGAATATTCTGCAGAGAAATGGAAACTGCCATAAAAAACACTTGGCCTCGCCCCCCCCCCCCCAATGTGCTAAGCCCTGCCCAATGCCTGCCTGCCCGTATACCTGCCTGGCGCACGGCACACAAACATAACGAAGCTCGGCCGACACCACGCCGGCCATGCCTGGTGCAGGAGGCTAAACAACGCACGTCGAAACAGACAACAGAAATAAAACGCACCCGGGGCACGAAAAAGGAGGCAAAAAAATACACATGACGATACAGTACGGGCAACAAAAAACGCCGAAGCCTCCACCAGACAGACAGGCAGCCACCAAAAACAGTCGACCAGCACCACCACGTACGCGAGTACGCGTTGCAAGTGTAGCGGAGACTCACCACGTTACCCTGACCCCTCTGCAGACACCATATCGTACGGAAGACGTGGGGGGACATTTACCGAAAACACGGCAGAACACGCGGCAGGCGCCGGCCGGCACTTGCGACGAAATGCCGCATGCTCTGCTGCTACAACTTCTGCGGGTGCTGCAATACTGTAGCAGCAGCAAGACCGTCACGCACGCTAGTACGGGTGCAAGCGTGGCAGCAGCAAGCGTGGAGCTATTCAGCAGCTAGCGACTGTGGTTACCTTGGCCATGAAGTCGGCCGTGGCGATGTTGAGCTGCTCCAGGGGATACTCCTCCTCGAATCCTTCCTCGTCCTCGTCCCCCTCCAGCAGACCCGTCGCGGGGTCCACATCCAACGCCTGGGCGGAGAAGAAACGCACGCACACACACGCTTCGATCAGATGGTTAGCGCGCGCGATGCTAATCAAGGAAACACACACACAAACACACACTTGCTTGGAAAGTGTTGGTGTTCATATTCTCGCTACAAGACTGACGTCTCTTGATTGGTCCGCTGGTTAGCGCGGTCGATGCTAAATGAGGAGACACACACGAAAAGATTGAGTCCTTCCCTTGCACTTCAGAAGCGGGACACTGTCTTCCAACTCACGCGCGCCCCTCCCTCGTCGGTGTAACTGTTTGAACTAGAAACTGTTCGTTTTTATCCCGTTACAAGACTGGCGTCTTTTCATTGGTCAGACGGCTAGCGCGGTCGATGCGAACAACAAAAACACAGCACACGCACCTAAAAAAAAAAACACGCACGTGACCTCAAAAGTAGAAGCATTTTGTGATTTCAATCAATCGCACCGAGGCACGAGTCTGTTCATTGGTCAGTCGGTTGGCGCGGTCGATGCACACAATAAAAAACACGAAGGGAAATTAGGCAACAAACCCACGGAGCATCCGCATGGATGATCATGGCAGACGACACCCAAAGAACAGGAAGTAGTCAGCAGGGAATGAATCGAAACAAGGAACCAACCAACACGAGTGATCGCCGGCTACATCTACATCCGAAGGCTGCGTTGCCCACACAACTATCGAGGCGAAGGACAAGTTAATCGGTCGCGGTTTTCTTCAGGAAGACCGAATTCAAAGCAAGTCGTGGGGACTATCATCTTCCTTGCCATCCGCAGGCCCCCTCTACGAAACAGCACCCTGACTCACAGCGGAACGGGGGGGGGGGGGGGGGTGAAAAAAACCCCCACAATTGCACAAAAACATGGGAAGCTTACCCCAAAAACGCGAAATCACGAGCCGATCCACACAAGACTTTTCTCTCGTACGGCAAGCCTGCCTGCCTGCCTGTGAGAGGTTGAGGGCCGTCGCGTACCGCCGTTTTCATCAACAACTACCGTAAGAGGGGAGAGATGGCACGTCCCCGAGACCGATTTTCAAAGCTCGATTGCTCCACACCCGAAGTTCGTGCCAACACCGAAAAGGTCGGTTTTGGAAACATCTC